TTAATTATCATAAATTTATTGTTAAAAAATTCAAAATCAAAACATTATGTGTTTTTAAAGTTAAACAAGTATTTTTAAATACCAAAAATAATTATATATATTTAAATTTCATATCATGTCTATTTTGGTCATTTTACATACCCACACTCAACTGCTTCATGGAACAGCAGCTTTTTCACAACTCGAAGACTACAATTTACCAAACGCTATTTATTGATTTTGGAACCAGCACAGCTACTATAATTACAATTTACCAAACACTCAACTGCTTCATGGAACAGCAGCTTTTTCTTTCAGCACAGCTAAAAGCACTTTTTTTAAAATGCACAGCATTACCAAACTAAGCCATTGTCTTCCTCCTTCTGCCGACTGACGGACGCCAAACTACAAGCAAAGAGGGAAAAAGGTTTGTGTTACCGCTGCGATGATAAGTACTTTGTTGGTCATTGCTGTCCCAACAAGGAATTGCAAGTCTTGGTGGTCAGTGGAGAAGAAACCGACGGTGAGAAAACCAACGTGGGAGGATGCCTTGGCCGACGAATTGGTGTTGTCCTTGAATTCTGTGGTTGGGTTGACCGTTCCTCGAACGATGAAGCTCAAAGAGCTGATTAAAGGGGTGGAAGTTGTGATCCTAATCGATAGCGGGGCAAGCCACAATTTCATTTCTATGGAATTTGTTAAGAAGTTGGGATTGGGGCTAGATACTACCGGCGGTTATGGGGTGGTGATGGGTATCAGCCTTACGGTCAAAGGAGAAGGAGTGTGCCGCGAAGTGGCTTTAACTGTGCAAGATGTGGACATCGTGGAGGATTTTCTTTCGTAGCAGCTGGGGAGCGCTGACGTGATCCTCGGTATGCAGTGGCGGTCAACTGGCGGGCTCTTTTGATGAAGTTCAAGGTTGGCGAGACCCTGGTTGTATTGCAAGGAGACCCTAGCCTCTATAAGGCCCTAGTGTCCTTATGATGCAGGCATTGAAGCAGGAAGGCCATGGGTTCTGGGTTGAATTGGGAATGTTTTCGATTGAGCAACAGTCGGGGGCTGTGGCAGAGGAACTAGTACCAACCGCCCTGCGAGTGGTGTTATAGCGACATGCCGTTGTTTTTCAAATGCCGCCCAGCCTTCTTCCACCGCGGCTGCAGGACCACCCCATTCCACTGAAGGCAAGGACTTCCCCAATTAATGTCCATCCTTACCGGTATCCGCAGGCACAAAAGAGTGAGATTGAGAAGTTGGTTGCAGAAATGCTTGCCGCAGGGATCATTCAACCTAGCGTTAGCCCTTTCTCCAGCCCAGTTTTCCTTGTCAAGAAGGACGAAAGTTGGCGATTTTGTGTCGACTATCGAGCTTTAAATTGTGAGACCGTGCTGGATCGTTTCCCTATTCCGGTGATAGACGAGCTCCTCGACGAATTACATAGTACTACCATTTTTTCGAAGATTGATTTAAAGTTGAGCTACCACCAAATTCGGTGCGCAGCGTAGATGTGCTGAAGACAGCCTTTCGCACCCACGAGGGACACTACGAGTTCTTGGTCATGCCCTTTGGGCTTACCAATGCTCCCGCTACGTTCCAGTCTCTCATGAATGAGGTATTTCGGCCCTTTCTACGGAAATTTGTTTTGGTATTCTTTGATGATATCCTGGTGTATAGCCGATTGTTGGATGAGCACGTCGAGCATTTAGAGGTTGTGATGATTGAGCTCGCCAAGCATAACCTGTACGCGAATGCAAAAAAATGCTACTTTGGGCAGTCCATCTTGGAATACTTAGGTCATATCATTTTGAAGGAAGGAGTGGCAGCGGATCAAACCAAGATTGCCACCATGGTCAATTGGCCAGCGCCTGCCAACTTATGGGGGCTAAGGGGATTTTTGGGCTTAATAGGCTACTATCGAAAGTTCGTAAAGGGGTATGGTTCCATCGCCTGGCCGCTAACAAACTTGTTAAAGAACGACAGCTTTCTTTGGTCGACAAAGGCTGCAAATGCCTTCCACAAACTCAAGGCGGCCATGACAACAGTTCTCGTGCTGGCCTTGCCGGACTTCTCACGTAAATTTGTGGTTGAGACGGATGTGTTGGGTGTAGGGGTTCGAGCGGTTCTGATGTAGGATCAGCGACCGATCGCTTTCTTTAGCCAAGCTCTTTCCAGTACAAGCTCGCCTTAAGTCGGTCTATGAGCGAGAGCTTGTGGCCATTGTGTTGGCGGTCCAAAAGTAGCGGCCATACCTTATCAGGTGGCACTTCATTATCCGCACAGACCAACGGAGTTTGAAGTTCCTGCTGGACTAGCGGGTTGTCAGCGAACACCACCAACGTTGGTTATCCAACCTTCTAGGCTTTGACTTTGAGATTCAATATCGCCCCAGGTTAGAGAATAAGGTTGTAGATGCCCTTTGCAGAACTCCAGCTTCTGTCAGCGCCCTTTGAACTTGACTCAGAAGAGCTCCAACGACATAATGCCTTGGATGCCAAGCTCTCGCGCTCGATTGAGGATCTCCAAGCTGATTCGGGAGCTCATCTAGGGTTCTCCTTACAGCAGGGGCGTCTCACGAAAGAGGGACGAGTCGTAGTCTCGTGAGACTTTTGTCTGGTGGCTGAAACACATCATGACGGGGTGGCAGGGGGGCACTCTGGCATGCTTAAGACTTTCCGACGTTTGGCTGCTGATTGGTATTGGTTCGGTATGAAGGACATAGAGGCCTATGTCGCGAAATGCACGATATGTCAGCAGAATAAATACGACACCTTGGCCCCCGAGGGTTTGTTGCAGCCCCTGCCCCTTATGGACAAAGTATGGGATGATCTCTCGATGGATTTCATTGAAGGGCTGCCCAAGTCAGCGGGATATGATGCCATTCTAGTCGTTTCGACCGCCTTAGTAAGTACGCCCATTTCATTCCGCTCAAGTACCCATTCACCGCGACGATGGTGGCGGACAAGTTCCTTTGTGAAGTGGTAAGGCTACACGGTATCCCTCGCTTTATTGTGTCTGATCGTGACATGATTTTTCTGAGTAAATTCTGGAGGGAGTTGTTTAAACATCAAGGCTCTACCTTGGCTCGGAGCACGGCCTATCATCCTCAAACGGATGGGCAAACCAAAGTAGTTAATCGGTACCTTGAAACCTACTTGCGGTGTTTCTCATCAGATATGCCTCGTCAATGGTCAAAGTGGCTACCATGGGTTGAGTATTGGTACAATACCTCCTTCCACACCGCCACACAAATGACCCCTTTTTGCGCTCTCTACGGCCGTGACCCCCCTCCACTGTTGCGTTATGGACTCGGTCTTTCCCCTGTGGCCATTGTAGACCTGCAGCTAGCAGATCGCGATGCCACTCTGGACCTTCTGAAGCAGCAACTACAGCGGGCTCAGCAGAAGATGAAGACGCGGGCGGGTGGCTCTCGCTGCGTGTTTCCTTTGAGGTGGGGGACTTGGTGTACCTCAATCTCCGTCCCTACCTGCAGAAGTCGCTGGCGCAACGTCGCAATGAGAAGCTTGTGCCTCGCTTCTACGATCCATTTGAAGTGCTCACCAGAGTAGGCTGAGTCGCCTACCGTTTGACTCAGCTGCGACGTGCTTTGGGCTCTACTATCTCGGATGCTGCTCTGTCGCCACAGCTTACTCCAGATATGGAACTTCAGAGAGTAGTTGCGCTAAGGGGAGTCAGCCAAGCTTCTCGTGGTTCTACTTCGAAGTAGAGTTCCTCATACATTGGTATACGCTGCCAGACCATGAGGATAGTTGGGAAAATTTCGACTGCATCCAAGCAGCATTTCCAGATTTTCACCTTGCGGACAAGGTGCATCTTTGGGCCGGGGGTATTGATGGGTTTCCTAGACCTCCATTACGTTTCACCTATGCTAGGAGGAGGCCTAAAGGGGGTCGAGTTAATGTGGCAGCAAGGGAGGCTGGTGAGGTGGAACCTGTTAGAGGAAAAAAGGGTGCTGATATGGAAGTAGCGCACGGAGCTGGTGTGCTAGCTCCTGAAGGAAGTGTGTGATGGCTCGGATCCCGAGAGGAGCCTTGGAAGAAGAGAAGGGAGAGGGAAACATTTAGTTAGAGAATAGGGAATAAAAGCAGAAGGAGGGAATTAGAGAAGGCATCGATCAACTTCTCTGTAATTGACATAGTTGAGCTTTTGGCTCTAAGGAGTGCAAGGGGTCACTCGAACGCCCCCATATCTTCCTGTATTTCCTTTGATAATTGAAGTCTTAATCAATTCAATCCAATCGTCTTCTTTCCGATTACTTGCTTGTTGTGTGAATTCTATAATTCTGAACCTAAGTTTTAACAAATAACCTATGCCATTGTCTTGTGTCATAGTTATACTTTACTCTTAGATTTTCTCTCTCTGTTTTGTTACAATTGATATTATTCTCGTACATCACAATTTTCTTTCGTCAGTGTAATATTCTTTCCTCTTGAGTTTCACTAGCATCTTCATGTAAGAGTTTAAATAGTCTCCCTTTTATGGGTGTTTTAATAGTTTTTTTCTTAAAGTTTTACTCATATTATCTAGTTATTATGAAGACAACTTCGTATCATTATATTTAGTTCTTATCATTAAATTACGGAAAAGTTAATGATTTTCTAAATGCTACATTATTTAACTTTCCTCATAAGTCAAAAAACAAAAAAACAAAAAAACACTTATAAGTTACTCTTTCTCATCTTCATAAATCTTTAAAAGATATATTTTAATCTCTTTTTAATGTTAAATCTTATTACTATTATCCTAATTGCAGATGTCTGCTAATATAGACAGTTGCTTTTGAATAGTTATTAAAAATCTTTCCCTCTGTTTTATTCTCAAACATTTTCAAATATTTCTCCTTATTAGGATAACTGCATTTCATCAGTTACTTTTATATTTCAAAAGTCGATAACTGCTCTTATATCTTATTCTTACTTACTCTTTGGATAGAAAAATACATTATTTGGTTTGATTTCTTTCCATCATGGATTGTATCTTTTGATACTTTCTGTCTTCTAAAAAAAATAAAAAATAATATGGAGAGATTATAATAGGGAATCCACACCAAACACACTTAGGTTATATGGCTTTCTTATTTTCTTTCACACTTGACAAACACAGCCTTAATGTTATTGCTGAGTAATTTAGGGAACGTTTAGTTCATGGATTCAGAACCATTTTCGTTTTACGTGTGTTTTTTGTGAGAGAAAATACTATAGCGAGTTACGAACCACGATTCGAATCCCCCTTCCAAACGTCCCCTTATTTGTTCGTCTTAATTTCAAAATACCGATGTAGATGAAGAAGGTGAAAACCGACACTGATTCTACTCCCATTGTTGACTTAAAGTCTATTATTCACCAGCATTCGCTGTTCTTTGACAAGTTAGTTGAGCTTATTCCGGCAAACTTCTATCTATCCACCGGCGACAAGGATAAGCCCTGGTTTCAGGGTTTAAGCAAGGCCGAAAAAGTGTCAGCGAAGAAGGAAACAAAGGAGAACATCAAGAAAGCTCGACGAGATCGATTAGACCCTGAGAAGTCGTCCACAACAACCCTTGATTTGTTGAAGCAAAGCTTCAAAAAGGAGAAGAAAGATGGTGAAAGTGATGATGGCGAGACTGAGATTCAGCCTAATTTGTCTGGTTTGGATGATGATAATAGGTTGGTGACATGGGAGGAGCTTCGACAAAGGCTTCGTCGAAGAATTAAAGAGTTTCGGGCAACTCGGAATACTAGAGGCTTTGATAAGGCAAACAAGAGGAATGAGAGAAATGATAAGGAACTGAGCAAAAGAAATGCAAGAGGGACACCGAATCAAAGGAGAAAGAGCCTAAATTGGGTATTTCGGATGATAAAGTAGAGAAAGATGATGTGGAAGCTTCAAAGGAGCTTGCATTCAGCCATGTGAAGCTCGGGAATGAAGACGGGCACAGGAAGAAAAAGAAGCAGCGGAAGCTTTCAAAATCACAGGAGCTTGAGAGGGCCAAGAAGTTGGAGGAAGCAAAGAAAGATCCCGGGAAAGGGGACGTTATTTCGAAGAAGCACTCGTGGAATGCTGCGATAAGCTGAGCCGCTGGGATAAAGGTTCATGACAATCCCAAGTTGTTGAAGGAGAGCATTCGAAAGGAAAAGAGAAGGCAACAAAAGAATGCTCAGAAATGGAAGGCCACACAGAAGATGAAAGCAGAAAGACAACAGAAGAGGTCAGAAAATATAGCAGCAAAGAAACATGATAAGAAGATGAGGAAGATCGCAAAGAGGGAAAGGAAGCTTATGAGGCCAGGATTTGAAGGTCGCAAGGAAGGATTTGTCAATGAAGGCTCTACAGCTTGAGATCGAGTCATGTTGAACTTCATTTTCTGCTTGTGATATGGGATTCGCTTCATCTGCTTAGTTTCACAAGAAATGGGATAAACAACACAATATAACTTTAGGGGAAAGAGTATAATCTAGTGTCGTCTTTTAATCGCCACTCAATAGTTTGCCATTCCCCTTCTTTTCACAGTTCAGTTGGGCCTTAGATTTGCATAATAGATGAGTATTTCAACAGTATGTTATGCTGGTTAATTTTTCTAGTGGTTGCTAATTTCAATCCGTTCTGAGCCAGAAACCAATTATGTCTCTCTTTCATTTTGTGAATTGACTGGTTTTACCCTTTTCATTTGATGTTTGTTCTTACCTGAGTAATGATGTTAATCAACTCGTTTCTTGCCAAATTAGGGGGGGAAGAAAATCTCATGAAAAAAATTTACGTCAAAGTATTTCTGTACATAACTCTTGTTAACAAGAGGTATCAAGAATGTCTAAAGATACTTGTACACTAAATTCTGCTCATCTTAAGTAGAAAGTGAATAATTAAGAAGCAAAAATGTAGAAGATGCAACTATTAGGATTGTTTTGCTATCCCACGCGGCGGCGGTGGGGATTTCGTTGGGGTACTTTCCTCATAATCCCCATTTTGCTATCTAATATAATTAGACATATAAAACTATTAGCAATTTAAATAAATAACAAAGTAAAAATTCACTATGAAATTGAACCAAAATCAAAAGTTCTTCGTGTTTAAAAAAAAAAAAAATCGAAAGCTCTTCAACAAACCAAACTGTACCACATATGCAAACCAGATCTTAGTAACAAAACAGAAAAGACTAATCATGTTTAAAAAGTTTGTTATATATTTATTTCAATAAAATATGCAATATATGAATATCCGGGGTGGATGTAGGGTGAGCCAGTGAGGAGTGCTTTCCTCGTCCCAAGATCGGCCACAACTTGGGTACAATTGTGTACCTAATTTCAGTTATTGTTCCCCATTCTTGCTCCTTTTGAGGCAGGTTTCCGTCCTCGCAAGAAATAGTCAACTCTAGTTTTATGTTGGTTAGTTTACCAACCAATTCATCGTGAACGTTTGGTTTACGAATTTATAATTATGATTTAAAATTATTCTCGATTTACGTATTTTTTGTGAGATAAAATATTGTAATGAGTCACGAACCATGATTCGAACCATAGCACGAATTCTCATATCAAGCACCTAGTTTAAGAGGTGGGCAAACAATAATTTTTATACTTTAACATCCTCTCACGTGTGAGCTGGACAATGGGTAATCGTGTGGGTAATTAATTGGAAAGCCTAACACGTGAATATTTAAGTTCGGGATATATTAAAAACTTAACACATGATAACAATTTAAATAGGAATAAAGAGTAATTATAAGGATTTAAATTCAAAACTTACCGTTCTGATACCATATTAATTTACCAATCGATAAATGTTACCTTGCCGTTTAGAAAGTAGTGTTAGACCCTCTTATGATTCGTGAATTACAAAAACTGATTACCAAAAAGAACTAGACCCAATGCATCCTGACTAGCATTTGTCGGCCATTACCCTTTCTTCCTTTCTATTTGGTCCAAACCAGTTATGTTTATCGATGTGAACTACTTGGCATGTCTTATTTGATTGATAAGTTCTTTTGTTGGCACGTTGCCATGACATTTCCAAGGTACAAATATACCCCCACTTCCATTTTTAGCCTATCAGAGAGCATGAGCGAAAAGGTTTATTCAAGCGTGACTTTAGAAGTTATCAACCCAATGCCACTGGTAAAGAGGGTACAGCCACTATTAAATACATTTTCTCGAGTGTGTTTGATTTTGAATCATGATTCGTAATTCGTTATAATATTTTTTTTTATAAAAAATACGCGTAAATCAAAAATAGTTATGAATTATGATTCTGAATTCATCAATCTTCTCTCACAAAAGAAACACACGTAAATTGAAAATAATTCTGAATCATAATTCTGAATTCATCAACCAACGTCCTTTAAAAAACGTTAAAGTCCATTTGGTTCAACTAAATACTTAAACCCATGACATTCTTAGACCCATGATTTTATTCTGCTACACAATTTTTTTATCTCACAAAAAAAAAATTAAAATTAAAAATTTCTTCTCACAAAAAATTAAATTAAAAATTCCTCTTACAAAATTACTAAAAAATCAAAATCTCACAAAATTACTAATAAATCAGAATCACACACTTCATCGGAATACCTGATTTACATGCACTCTTGCTTACTTGCTGCCAGTGCCCCTTGTAAGAAAAGCCTTTGTCTTTGGACCTAATTAATACCGTAGAGAATGATACGTCCCATTTGTTTCGAGAGCCAACCATTTTTTTTTTTCATCTGAAATTTCAGAACAGTTATTTAGCTCTCAATAAGAATTCAATTGTTAAGTCCAGCAGCAATATGGTGCCGAATAGTATTGTAACATTTTTCACGAACTTGTAACATTTTTCAAAAAACTTTGAACTGCTTGGTGTTGCATAATAGAACAAACAGCTTTTTGGTTTTTACATAAACAACGATATTACAATGACGAATACGTTAAGACTGGTAAGGCGGCGAAGGCGAGAAAATTTATAGTACAAAGTTTCCTTGTTGCAAATAGAATATGTACCACCTGAGCAAGTTGTTAATTAAGCCAGTTATTTGTGTTAGTTGAAAGCCACACATTGACATTAATTAGTACACATGCAACAAGTAATTAAAAGACCAACAATATTCCACACAACAACAAACATGATATCCACAACACAACCAGTACAGAGTCAAATCTAATCTACTTACAAGAAACCAACCAAAGGGCAAATAGAAAAAGGATTGATCAGCCAAAACAAGCCAACCAAAGACATATACATGTCTTTCAAACTTGCAAAGAAAAACATAAGAGAAACACATAACAAAGACACATACACATTATGCATGACATACATACATAATATGCACATGATATTATATGTATATGTCTAGACCGCCCTAGTGGTGGGAGCTGCAGTGCCACCCTTGAGGCCCGGATCTTCTCCGCGCTCTCTGATGCCGTAGTCGGTGTCACGGTAGCCGGGGCCGTACTTGCTGCTGAACGTGCCGGCGTGAAGCAACAGAACATACATCAGCTGAGTGAAAGTCAGAATTATCACAAACGCCTCCAACACCCTCAGCCTCCACCCTCTATGTCCTCCTATGTTTATTTGCTTGCAAGCGAACCTATACATTGTCATACATACATATATGCACATGTATATCAGAATGAGTAGTTGGTTATTTTATTTTGTATTACATGGCAATATATATATGTGTGTGTGTGTGTGTGTGTATATATATTTGTGTATATATGTACGTGGAAACTAATTGTAGTTACCCGAAGGCTAGAGCAGTGATGGCCCAAGCAATGAGTGATAAGGCAGCTGCGGCAGCAAGGCTGTCGTTTCTCCAAGCTCTGATGTGGTTGCCACCTGCGAGTTTCGAGACTATCCCCACCACAGCAGCCAGTATGGCGAATGTCAGGAAGAACATTGTTGCACCATTTCCTCCAAAACCTGTACAACAACGTACATTAATTAAGAAGAAACACTTTTTTTTCTCCCCCCTTTCTCTTTTAGTTTAAATTTTGTGGGGCTATTTAAACCCTTCATCTCAAGATGTAGTCATGTTTTGAGTCGATGATTTAAATCGTGTGTGGAGTCGGTCACATGTGAGTTTAAACGTGAGGTTATACCTGCACCCCATCATAGTATGAACCATATGATTCAGATACGGTGTAAATTTACCGCTAAATTATGAGTACAACCACAGAGGGTTAAAGGACTAAAATAACGAATATCGTATCTCTTCAACTTTTAGAGTTGGTGCACCACATCTTTTACAGAATGAACTAACAAAATGAACGGAACCTAAAGCAATGAAAAACCTAAAGCAATGGAAAGGTCTAAATTAGTTAGACACAATATATATGTATACACACACACGTGTAACAAAAAGAGAACTTACTTGGGTGGTTGGTTTGGCCATTGATGAAGCGGTTGAGACACCAACTAGCAAAACCCACAACAATAAAATACATAATCAAGTTAAGGAACAGCAATGGAGCTGCTATATTCCTTCCAACCGTCTGAGCCATGTTTCTCTCCCCTTCTTTTATTTCCAAACCACAAAGAAACAAAACTCAGTTTTTCCTCTCTTCTCCTTCCCTCTTATTATACTCCAAATTAAAGACTCAAAATATAAAAGCCCACTTCTTGATGACTACTCTTTTATGAACTTGTGCTTCTAATGGAAGCCTGAGAGAGAAGGATATATAGAACAGCCAAGGTTGTACATATTGATACGTGTTGCTCAAACTGGTTCTGCATGTGGACTTTCTGGTTACAGGTGGCAGGACACTTGTCGTTTTTTCACACTGTCTTTCTCAAAATCTGTCCATCTCTTTAAGAATCTCGAAGTTTATATACACTTCTTATTCATTTTATTGATTTGAGTTTAAAATTTGAGTTTTATTATAGTAAAAAACTTTTAAAAACAGTCACATTTAATTTTTTTATTACAGTAAAAAATTATCACATAAAATCACATTTTAATTTAAATTAAAAACTCGAATGCACTAACTAAACGAGTCTCTCATATATATCAAATGGTGCGGTTATCCAATGCGGATTATATACGCCTAGATCGCTTCTAAGTTAGACTCCAAATTTGTCCCACCACCAGTGGGCCCAGCAATCAACGGTGACAGACACGTGATCTGATCATATCTTTCATCAATCAAGGTGAATTGGCCATAGTTACATGGCTTTTAGTGCATTCTAGAATGATCTTATAAATATTCATTGTTATACAATTGTTTGTGCGAACTTCCGAACATCAAATTCCTGGTGGTTGGATCTCTTTTCTTATCGCCTTTCACTCACTCTTCTGACGCTCAAATTAGATAAAGTATCCGAAGAATTTAGCATGAGAGAATTTAGACAAAGAAAAAGAATAGAGTAGTCATTTCTGATTTTCTAGGGACCGGCTCCCTCATTATTCTCATCATTTTCTATTTATATGACGTATGTCATGATCGGATGAATATTTTTAATCCATTCTAACCACAACATGTCGTCATCCCTTTTCCTCTAGGATTTCCTTGAGGATATTCCTCTTTTAGAATATTCTCAGAGGTTTTTCTCATTAAAAAATGTCGCTTTCCATTTTTATTCACTTTACACGTATCGTGTCCGGACTGGACACGTTAGTTATTAGGATAGTGAGGCTTGTGCCACTGTACGGAGATTCTCTCTCTACACAAATCATCCTCATTATCTCCTCAATCAGTCTATTTTGGTCTCTTAGTGTCGAAGCCTTCTGTCGACCTCAGTTCCGGTCTTGGTCTAGTTACCTCAATCGAGGTCATGTCCTTTCTCAATTGAGGTGGGCTTTGGTCTAAAACGGTTAATAAATCGGTTTAGATCCCGTACTATTGCTTCTATTGACTTCATAATACGTGCCGTGTCGTGATCTTTAAAGGATTTTAAGAAATCCTCCGTTGGTGATTACGTACTTAATAAATATATATAACGAATATAACGGTAATATGTATATGCAATGTATACATGTGTGTGTCTATATATATATATATATAAAATATGTGTACTCTTAGCTATTGGTTTTATATTTTTTTTTTTACCTATACATTGAATGTGTTAGATATTGGGTATGTGGTGACATTAATAGAAACTAGGCTCACATTGAGGGTGTCCAACCTATATTGGTTATATACGACCTATCTAATTAAAGGTCGATTTTTTACAAGTTACATCTAATCTAAATTAATTATTAGTGTATTATTCAATTCAATCCAATCTGCTTAAGGTGGGTTTGAATTTGATAGGATCAATTAGTTTTTTGCTTGAGCTTTTTTTAATATTTCTTTTTTTTTTTTCTGTTCAACTGATTTGTTAGATCTTTTTAACAAAATTAAAATACTATATTTGAAAAAATGAAGTAAGAATTAGCATTCATAAATCTAAAAAAGCATATAAACTCTAAATTACTTCAAAGTCGATTAAGCATTCAATGAATAACTTAAAGAAATGAAAATAAAGTTACAAACAACTAAAAATAAAAAGTTCAGAAAAAAGAATAATGGAAAATATAGAAAAGAAGTGACTGGAAAAAAGAAGAATTTAAATTTTAGACTACTAATATAAATATATATTCATAGTATATAGAGGTTGGATCAGTTTGGATTGGGTGTTTTGAAAGTAAAATTAACATCTAATCCAATCATATTCGGTTTTTAAGAAGTCACATCCAGTCTAATCTAATTGAGGTGGGTTATCCACTAAAATTAGATTGGATAAGATTGGATTGGATCGGTCAACTTGATCAGTTGATTAGATCCAATGAACACTCCTAACCCACATATTTGATCAAGTAGAATTAAATTAGGAGAAGAGTACATGATATGTCATGATTTTGTATAAATTTATTATTTATTATCTATGTCATTCTAAATAACTGAGTATCACCCTAACATTTGGTTTGATGTTTATTAATTAAATGACAACTGTTTATTTTTAAGTGGATCGGTAACATAAATAATATTTTTATCATTTTGAGTGGTATTTGTAGTTTTTCCCTTAAATTAGATCTTTATCTATTAGTGGGTTTTGAAAATTTTAAAATAATAAAGGGATGTACGACAAAATGTCACCAATTATCTTTTTCGCGGAAAAAATAATAGTTTGGATTAATTATAAAAATTCTCCCTAGATTATACATGTAACGCCATTCGGAATTAAACTTGTTTAATTATGATAATTGTGATTTATTAGTGTGCCTAAATTTATTTTCTTAATTAATCATGAGCTTTTAAATTTATTTTAGTATTTACAATTTCACCCCTATTTATTTTATTTATTTTTCCTTAATATTTTTCCCAATTTTCTTTTTCTTATATTTCTCCTTTTCCTCTTTCCTTATTTCTTTTCCCTTTCCCTTCCTCACATTACTCTCTCTCTCCTTCTCTCAATCTCCGGAGCTCTCTCTCCCTCTCTCTATCTCTCTCTCTCTCCCTCTCCCGCTCATCTCTCCCTCTCTCTCTCAAAGTTTTCTTTCTGAAGGGCCGAATTTAAACCAAAAATGGAGGTTTCCAAGAGGTTTTCAACATCAAAGCTTGGATCGAGGTAAAACTCTTTGAAACTTACTTTAGATTTTCAGATTTAGCTTTGTGGAACTTGTTTTAGTCGAGTTTGGCGATTTTTGGTTTAAATTTTGTTTTCAAATGGAATTCGAATGGGATTTGGTGAAACCTTGATGAAAATTGGGGATTTTTGATTCTTTGGACCCCATTTGTTTATTTGAAACTGGATTTATACATTTCCCTTGAGAATATGTCGAAATTGAACCCAAAATTTGCAAGTTTTGGCTTTGTTCCCCGCGAATCGGCCATGGCTGGCCCTGGAACTCTTCCCCACCGGTCACCCTTCCACAGGTCGACCGATCCGGTCGACCGGTCACCTGTCCACCGGCCGACCGGTGGAGTTATACTCCTCTGTCACCGGTCAACCGGTTCCCACTGAAACCGACCCTAAACAGTCCTAAAACCCTGTTTTGACCCCGAAACTCGATGTGGGATTGACCTAACCTCATTTGAGAACTCAAATTGAGTGGATTAGCCACATGAATCCTTGTTTTTCATTCGATTCTCCGGAATAAATCTCCATTGTCAAAGAATCATGATTTGAATTAAGAATTGTTTATGAACATTGATTTTGAACTATGGCACACTAATATGATACAATTGCATCTAATTAAACGAGAATGTTTGGTGAGAAAAATTAAACTCTAAATTGTCGATTTTGATGGGAAAGTTAGTGGCACGATTGAAATTGGAGCCTCAAAAGAAAGCGGAGGCTAGGAGAACGGAAAGCTAAACCAGGTTTGATATCCAAAAGGTAGGATATTCTTATCCATATCCTTGTTAGCCTTACTTTAAATGATTTTGGCCAATGAAAATGTTTTAGAACAAAACATGTTTAAAGAAAATGATTTCAGAGGAATAGCATGAGAATGCTATTAAGTTTTTCAATGATTTTGGAAATGAGATTTTAAAGAGTATCATTTCTTAAAATGAAATATCTTAAGAAATGATACAAAGCATGGTGGCCACAGAGATCGGGATGTGGGAATCGCATCCTTGGGGGGAAGTCTCGAAACCCGTACGGATCCACTTCTTGTTTAGTGGAACAATGGCTCTGCACTTTTCTCTAGATAGACATTTTTACCGCTTCTTGTTTAGTGGTATGATGAGCTGCACACTTTCATTATACATATATTTTCTACTATGTGAGTACTTTCTTTTCTAAAAAGGATGACCAGTTCCGGTGTATATCTTCGGACCGTGAGTACATTTATTTTAAATGCTTTATAAAATTATATCCTACTGGGCCTTTCGCTCACCCTTCTTGTTTTCAAATGTATTAAACCCCTTCAGGCGACGCGAGAAGTAGTGCGGAGTAGGTAGCTACTACCGATGACGTGGACTCATCTTCGAGAGGCGAAGAGTTGTCTTTCCTCTTATCTTTTATTTCAAGGCATGTATAAAAGATTGTGGATTGTAAACTTAAATATTACTAGACTGTGGTTAATGTCACATTTACTTTTGTTTATATTCATGTATGCTAAACACCTGTGGGAATTCCTGACTTGATACCATGGACGTGGTTTTAAACTGGTTTGGTTGGAAATTCCACCACCCTTCTTGAAATTGAATTTCTCCTGAATGCAAGGGGCTCGTTTAGAAATACCTTGATGGTTTGGATTTGAAAAATTAAATTATTTGCAACGTTATTTGCTAATCACTCTCTCAAACATGTTTAAGTTTCTAAACGAGCCTCCACGTCACTAACCCCGGTTTGGGGGCGTGACAATATCTCTTGTAACACTTTGTTCTTTGATCTTTAAAACGCAACATTCATTCCCCTTGAACAATGTAATGTTAACAAAAAGGCCCCCTCCATTAGGTTTTTAATTGAAATTGATATTTAATTTACTATTTTGAGAGTATTTTAATAATTCTATAGTTTAAAATTTAATTTAAATTTGAATTAATTTAAAGATTCAAAAAATCATCAATTTTTTTAACATTAAAAAAAATTCATAAAACTTTTAACTTACCTTCAATCAATCATGAATGTATCGTAATTAAAATTTCAAATTTAAATTAGCTTTAAATTCAAAATAAAGTTTAAATAATAAAACAAATTAGAATATCT